AAAACCGGCCCGAACACATCCTGGGCATGGCTCGCTCGTGTTCGGCTCGTTTACACCCCTAGCCTTGATTGATAGAGATTTGAAATTTAGTAAAAATTGGCCTGCCATCAAATAATTTTGACTTGATATTGAGCTGAAATTAGATTCTCGGATTTGAATCATTAGCTTCTTTAAGCAGAGAAGAGTGTTGTTATATTCCCTAGAATAGATTATAAAAAATAGAAATTTCTTAATTTTTATACCTATGGACTATGTAAAATTAAAAAAATTTCATTTATATATTGATGATGTGCACAATAAATGACAAAATTTCTCTTATACATGCAGCTATTTTGAGAGTATAACTTTATTTAGATTTAATGCAAGTCTCTCTAAGTAAGGAGAGGAGTAATATCTTACTAAATATTCAATACTACATCAACAAGAAATAAAAAAAAAAAAAACAAATTAATTATAAAATCTAAATTTAACAAATAAATAATTAAATTATTAAACCTTGATAATAATTTTAAGATTTATCAATTAAATTAAGAACACTTAGATATATAGCATCCGAAACATTGCTATTTGCAAATCTAGTATCATCTTGCATCCATTTTTCAAGTACTCAACTCAAATATCAAAATTTATCAAACAAACCCCAACCTTATTTTTCATTTCTATCAAATTCTCAGTAGTTTGATCGTGGCAAGTGTAAATACATCGGTTGTAGTTCCACACGAGTGTGTTAGATTTTTAAAATTGCATTTTTTTGGCTGTTATGTTTGTAATTATTCCTTTAAATTAATTAGCATTGCATTTTTTAATGGGAGTGGGGGCGAATTAGCATTGATTTTTTCGATGAAACCTAATTCTAATAGAAATAATTTATTTATAATTTTTATTGATTAATTTAGCTATAAAAAATATTGAAATAATTTTATTCTCAAAATTATAAATCTAAATTATTCCTTATACTTGTATATTGGCATTTGGCACATTCAAATAACGGAAAAATACTGAATGAATCGTCGTTAACGATCAATGGGTTATTCCCCAACTCCAAGATCTCCCTAAACCCTAAACCTCCTCATTTGGTTCAACTTATAAGGTGAAAGAGAGATAGAGAGAGAGAGAGAGAGAGAGAGAGAGAGAGAGAGAGAGAGAGAGAGAGAGAGAGAGAGAGAGAGAGAGAGAGAGAGAGAGAGAGAGAGAGAGAGAGAGAGAGAGAGAGAGAGAGAGAGAGAGAGAGAGAGAGAGAGAGAGAGAGAGAGAGAGAGAGAGAGAGAGATTTTATTCTTATTATTTATTTTTCTTAATTTTATGATAGGCTTATTTCTTCTGAAAGATAAAGACCACTCTCACTTCTAGTCTAGCTAACTATAGCAATAAAGAGGAACATCAATCATGTCAATAGTAGAAAGATTAAAATGAACACAATATTAAGAAACCCCACACTGATAGTTTTGAACCCATGTTTCCTCTTCCATGACTTATCCAATGCATCTATGAAAAAAAACCCCTTTTAAATCCTTAATTAAGCCTTCTCTTTTCTCTAAACTATAGCGCGCGTATGGCTCATGCAGAGTCATGCATATACTATTATGATTTTTTATGTATTATTAGATACAATAAAATTACTGTACATAATAATACAGAACAATACATAATAGTATATAAATCAAATATGATAGGTAGTACCTAAATTTGACTCATTTCCCCCATTTTTTCCATGATCTCTGATAGCTAGCTTTAGATCAGTAGTAGTACATGACTCTTTCTTGGGTCTTAAAATTGTTCCCAATAGTCTCACTTGCTCTTCTGGGGTCATCAAAGTAATTAAGATTTTTGGGATTAATTACCAGCTTAATCTCCTCATAACCAGAATTTATTAATGGAGCATCTGCTTCTCCTTCTCCTGAAATTCCACCAAGGAGAAGCTTTTGATCTCCTATTTCATTAAACTGAAAATAGTTCTCTGTCTCAAACTCCATTGTTGATCTTCCAAAGCATATTTCAGAAGAGCTGCAGTTCAATTGGTCTCCCCCGAAAATGAGGAGCTTGCTGCTATTTAACTCGGTTTGGTAATGGTGTGATGGCCACATTTCAACTGAGGGGAAGGAAGAATTGGTGTTAAAAAATTTGGATGGAAAATGTTGCTGATGGGAGAGTAATGAAGTAGAAGAAGAAGGATGGAGGATATTATGATCAATAGAAGGTTGCAATTGTTGATTTTGCTGCTTTAGCTGATGGCTTAATTTTTTTTGAGTTGGGGAGATTCCAAACAGCTTCTTCTTGAGTTTTGTATTCCAGTAGTTCTTAATGTCATTATCTGTCCTTCCAGGTAGATGTGAAGCTATTATAGACCATCTGCACTTAAAGAGAAGTCAATTCTAGCAAGAAAAAAAATTGAGAGATGAGATTGTCATAAGTTGAATATTTAGCTAGAATTACATGGCATTTAATTATTTTTAAGTGTAAGAGAAATTTAAGGCCAATACATTTTCAACATAATTCATAATAACACTAGATTATTTATATAAAATTTAGCTTAGAGATTATGTGACTGTGTTAAAATGAGTGATGTAAAGAGCATATATCACTTTTTTTTTCTTAATTTTTTGAAGAAAAAAATGATATTTTTTCTTGTACAAAAATAACTATACAACATTCTAAATTAGGATTGCCTTGTGAAATATAGAGGAGAAAAAAATTAAGGCTATTCTTACAAAAATATCATCAGAATGTGTTTTGAAAATAAAATGATATAAATTTTAATCTGTTAATCATATGCTAAACACCCACTTAAATAATTCTAATTACCATTTTAACCAATTATCCTCATAAAAGAATGCTTAATGTCTTGATAATAATGCCATGAAGTTTAAGAAATGAAGTGGTATAAATCCTGAGCTAAATTTATTTAATTCATGATAACTTTATTTACCCCTTTTTTTTTCGTCTGTTTTGCATTCAAACAAGAAGCTAAGCTTTTAAATCTCGTATGCAAGGGAGGAAAAGTGCATGGAAAGTAGTCAGGTAAGAAAGAAGCCTTTTTATCTATGAGTGCTCTTTGCTAAAACAAGAAAGGAATGATAGCTTTTTCATGTTCTTTATTGTTTTGCAGGTTCTTAAAGTAAATGATGGAGTGAAAAAGAGATAACACATAAAAGTAGAATTAATAATTGAGGAAAAACAAGGCAAATGAGAGTTAACTGACCTGCTTCCAATAGAAGCAAAGAGGCTGCATATGATCCTATCTTCATCATCAGAGAAGTTACCATGCTTTATGTTCGGTCTCAGATAATTTAGCCATCTCAACCTGCAACTCTTCCCACATCTCTTTAGCCCTGGAAGCAACCCAGTATCAACTCTCAACAAATCAATTTCCATATAAATTATTTCAACTAAAAAAACTTCCTTTTTCAAGAGAAAAGGTGAGGAAGAGGGAGAGAGGAAGAGAGAGAGAGAGAAGGAGAGATGAATCATGATCACTAACCGGCCTTCTGTGGGAGGGAAATCCAATTGCCACCAATCCCATACTTTTCTATGTAATCCTTAAGCTTATTATCTTCCTCAGGAGACCAAGGTCCTTTCTTCACGTTTGCCTTGTCACAACATGGAGCCCTACCCATATTGGACAGCTTTCTTCTCCCTTAACCCTGCAAGCCTACTTAGCCTTTCTTATAAAAGGATAGATCAGAAACGAGAATGCATGAAAAAAATAAGGAAAGGAAGGGCTTCTGACTTCAACCCTTGCAAGCTTACTTAGTGCCTTCAAGAAAAAAGCTTTCCTGTACAAAGAGAGCAATCAGAGATGCGTAAATTTGAAAAAGTAAGGTGAAGGGGCAGAAGTCAAAGCATAGTCTGTTTGGTATCAATCAATTGTAGGCTCCTTGTTGGCACTCTCGTTTTATTCATATATACATCATCCATGAATAAAGCCTTCACTATACTTTTGAAGACCCCACATCTATGATTTACGTCCGCCTTTTGCCTTTCTCAGGTTGCTTTCTTCCCTTTTTAATCCTCCACTTCGCAGGACAAAAAAAAAGTGGAAGTAATTTCCATGGCTCATGATGACTTCAATTTAACACAGCTGCAAGTAAAATTATAATATTTGAGAGGCACCACTGACCAGCCAGAGACCCAAATCTCAGTTCTCATGAGTTGGGAGTGGGAAACAGTTGCTCCTGGCTTACGTCTTACTCCTGTCGTGGAATCTTAATTAAAAAATTACAAAAATGACATCAATATAATAATAAGAAATAAATAAATAAATAAAACAAATGAAAAAATTTATGGAAGGTTGTGTACGTTGTTCAGAAAGGACAGTAAAACAAACTAATGTTTAATCAGCTTGCTGCATGGAGAATTAATAAATATGTTTGGTCTGGTTAACAATGCATGGCTGGTCAAGCTACTGATAGTCGTCTAATTTTATTTAAATTTATGTGGATTAAATTGCAATTATTAAATACTAATTGGTTATGATTAAGGGTGCAGGTGTTGACCTCCAGCCCAACAACGTGGATGTATGATATCATGATTGATTCGTTATCATTAGGTTTTAGAAAAAATATATTTTGATGATTAGTTTTGTTGGAGAAGAGTATTAACTTTGGATAGCAAAGAAGGCGTGAGCTATAATTAGAAGTTTAAGGGTTGGTCCTTGATAATGACTGCTTACTTGCAGTCATGATTCAGTTAAGACTTTGTTTGATGTGGCTTGCTATTATTATGAATAAAATATATGGTTTTGATTCAAATTTAATCAAAATTTATTTTCTATCAAGTCTTATGTTGTGTTTTGAAATTGATGCTGTTGATATATATGTGAGGTTACATTTTTTTATTTATTTTGGAGTAGTGTCAACACAGTCGACAGCTTGCTTTCCGAAGAACAAATAATGTAAAACACCATCCCAGGAAGAAATTTTAAGCTGGAGCGCCATTGCCTCTTTACAGAAGCACTCCTCCTGCCCATTCAAACGATGGCTTGTGCTCTTGCGAAATAGAGCTAAGGAAACCAAATAAATAAGTGAAATTTACATAGATACCATACAATTTGTAAGTATTTTAATGTCTAACAATTTTACTTTCATATTTATATGCATACCGAACGTTTCCTATGTTCTTACATATTTGCACCTAAACTTTAGTTTTTAGATATTTATCAGCTCACCCATGCATGCATGAAAAGGTACGCTGCATTTCACATTTTAAAAAGAGATACAACCATGATTTTTTTTTGATGTGATATAAAATATTTAAATAGTATAAATATAAAAAAAATAATATTTAAACATTAGATATGTAAATGCATAAAATTTTAGTCTTATGTTTGTAAATATCCCTTTATATTTATAATATTTGGATGGCATAACTTATGCATGTGTGAAATGTATTTTTCAATTGTAGAAGTAAATTATGATGGTATTTTTCTGTGATGCTCAAAATTTGAGTGGCGTGCATGTAGATATGGAAGCTTATATGTTAAAGTTATGAAACACATAAGAATGGTGTGATTTGGAAATTCGTACTCTTATGGCCTGCCATTTGCACGCTGATTTAACTTACAAATTATTAACATATTATTATAAGAGCTGAAGCACATTAAATAAAAGGTCAACATTATTATGAAAAATGTTAGTTCGGCTTCCAAATATTCTAAGCTGTGTAAAGTCGAAGAATAGTCTTATTGCAGAAATGTAAAACTCTCTAACAATTTAGGCTGTGGGGCTTAGCTTCCGAACTCCAAGGAAAAAGGTTGGATCCACAAATAGGGAGTAATTGAGCTTGAGTGAGCCCAGGCTCAACTCTTGTTTAGCTTTTTAAGAATACTGATGTTTTTGATCGACTCGTTTATATATCGAGCGAAAAAAATTTATTCGTGTTTTGCTCGTTTGTTTAGCCAGTTGAACAAAAGTTGTTTGACCTTCCTAATCACGCAGCTCGTAGGATGCTAAGGATAGACCGAGATTAATTTAAATCTTATTATGGATATTAAAATTTTCATTTTAATATAACTTAATAATTTTCAATATATATAT